TATTATTTTGTTTAGGATTAGCGCCATCTATCCATATTAGGAAGCGTTAACTTACAGTTTGTAACAATGCAATCTATTGACACGCACATTTGTGCAATAAAATAATTTTAGTTCGTTATCAATATCTGATTATTACAAAAAACTGACCTCTTTATATTTCATTATTAAAGAGGAAATAATTGTTATCCATCGTGATTTACACAATATAAACTACTTCTAGGATATTGATCAGTGCCACCTAGACACAAGGCGGAATTTTGACCTTTTTCAGAGTTACGATCTGTAGTGTGGAGATTTCAGCAAATCGGGAATTCCAGCAGCTACCCTATCGTATCTTAGTTTATACGTTACACAATTTGTACAAATTTCATTATATGTACAAATAGATTAACTTCCAATGCATTCCGGCAATATGAAAACGGAGCCTAAAAAGCATTGACTTAAAATTATATGGACGTCGGGTCCGTGCTAAAAAGTGTCCGAACTTATAGGGCGTTAAAATCGTATACAGAGCGTCATTCACGCTTTAGTCTTCGTTTGTTCGACTGACAGCGAAGCAAGCAAAATTAGACAGTACTGCTATGACATTACAATTTAAATTCAACGTTTTAGCTTTTTCACATTCCTTTACATGTCACTACGTTTAAATAGGTTGACTTGGGACATTTTTTTCGTGGTTTTTGTATTAGACCCGTCGTCCACTTATTTGTAAGTCAATGCTAAAAAGGGAATATTTATATGAGAATGGCATTGGGGTCTATTCCAAGATAGTTGTAAATAAAAATACAATTCACCTACAGAAACAGTTTAATTTGGTTACGATGCATTGACAGGAACATTTTGTACAAAAAAAAATCGAGACAAAAATTTCAATTATAAAACTATAATTAACGTGATATTTACAAAATTATCAAATATAATTAATTAATCAAAACATTATAAAAAAAAAGGCTTAATACAATACAGATCAACATTTAAAAAAAAAAGATATACTTAATTGGACGTACTTAAACAAATGCACATCCAGTTAATTTAGAGATATAGCAGTTTGAAGTTTAAAAGGTTTACACAATCTTGTCTTAATTTCAAAAGTTATAATGTCATGTAACTTCAGAGATATTTATTTATGTTTATATGTTGGATTTTTTTTGTTGATCCAAGAGGTTAGACTTTAGCAACCGTTTGGTAGATATAACTCATTTTTTGGTAATTTTGTGGATTGGTTCCTTTTTGCTAACTACGTCCAATTATGAAATATAATGATGAAACAATGTGCTTAATACAAAAATGTACTCATTATAAATCTACATACTAACTACTAAACTAAATCTTACCTAATCGGTGTTCTATATAGTAAAGGTCAACACACATTCATTCGAAGTTCTACAGCATGCTCGGATCTCGGTAACTTGTTACGTCACTGGGGTCAAAACACAAAACTGCGATACGACGTTGCATCGCGCAGGATGCATGCTCGAATTGCTCTTCATCGCGCATTCCTGCGATGTTAATCTTCTTTTTGTTTTTTTTTCTATACATTCTTATCAATAACAGCAGTGCAACTCTTTTTACGATACATCCAATAATATTAACCTTAGAACTAAATCCAAACTCATGGTACCACGATTTCGTTTAACCAAGGTAAACAACTCTTTTATGGGGAACTGTATACGTTTTTACAATAAGATTCCGGAGCATATATTAAGTTTATCATTTCCTAAGTTTAAAAACTACATTAAAAATATTTTGATCGAAAAATTATATTACAAAATTGAAGACTACGTGTTAGATAAAGATGTATGGAAAGACGACACGGCTCCAGAATCTACACAAATTTGATTCAAAGTGTACTCCATAGCATTTAAGTTTATTTGAAAAGAGCAATCCCTAGAGTTTCTTGCTCGTTCTTCTCAGGGAGGTCAGCGTAGTGAACGAGCAGTAGCTTAAATGTGACGATTTCAAGTGTAAATTTATTTTACCTATGGAATAAATAATCTTTGACTTTGACTTTGACCATGTCGGTACCTAGTTTGAAAAACACGTTCAGTACGGTTGGTGATTTTTGAAGGAATGGTTACCCGAAACGTGGTGGAGCCTTGCTACACGAAATTGCATCGCAGCAATTCGCGTTGCAGTTTTCTACTTTGCGAATTCGCATCGCATTATTGTGTTTCGACCCTTTATCAGTCGGTCGGTGGGTTATATTTTTAAAATAAAAATGTATTTATTTCTCCACAAAACTCAAGGAACACAATTATTAAAAAAACATTGCTGGTTTTCAGTCTTCACCTGTAGCTAGCGAGCTGTTCGCTTGTTGCACCATGCGGAGTGTACACCATAATAACCTACCTTAAGTAATAACTAGTAACATATTAAAATTTGAAATTAGTAATAGGATCGATTGGCACTAAATAAGTAATGGGATCGATTTTGGATCTTTTTACATTCCGTGGTACGGAGGACTTTTTTTAGACACCGAAAATTAAAGACTCAGCATTGCTGATCTGTCTTCACCTGCAGCTAGCTAGCTGGTCGCTTGCTGCACCAAGCTAATATGCGGAGTGTACACCAAGTAATAACCTACCTTAAGTAATAACTAGTAATAAGTTAAAATTTAATAGCTTCTTAATTTTCGTTACATTTAATTTTCATCACAAGTTGCTCGTAAGCAGTAGTGGTAAACTGTAAACGTAAACCAGGTGGTATTTTTATCATACGGCCCTAGGGCGGTAATGGGGTTTTTTGTTTTATTTATACGCTGCTGGCTTGGCCGTCAACGGCCGTTTCGCCATATAGGCGCCTAACAACTTTGTGCACAAATTCGAACTGCATGATACAGAGTAATGCGTGTTGACCCTAACGACATTTAGTGGTAGTTTTTTTCATTAACAGGGTTATATTAACCCGAGTTACTCGGTAAAATCACTCGTAAGCGTAACTTCGATTAACAGTGTGTTATTTCTAATAACCTTAATCATCTAATAACCCCAAACCTCTAAAGTCAGTATTCTTGAACCTTTTTTTCTACGAATTTCATAAATTCACATTTTTTTTTACAAACCTGCATCTTTTGTTTGATTTGTATAAGAAGAAAAATTTGATGAATTCCCAAAAGCCGTAGAATAAAAGTTTGTTCGAATAGTAATAACAATATATATATTTTTTTAAAGCTATCCAGAATTTGATTGGGCTATGTCGGGGTCTACCTCTCCCCATGTTCTTATAGAGCGTCGTCAATTTAACCTCCTAATGCCCAGTGCATATCAAAGAGTTCATAAATATTATTATGAAAATACATCGAGTATGTAACCAGAAATGGAGACGAAATAAGGGCCATATATTCCTGGTAACAAATTAGTGATACATCACTTATAAATATCAACTCTCGTTTGCACTGAAATATAGACAGCGCCAACAACTGACCTGTGTGTACGTCTCCGTATATTCCAAAAATATTCTGTATTTATTGTAATAAAGATAAAATCTCTAACAATGCCGTGCTGTTCAATTCGGTGGTGTGGGAAAAACAGCAAAACATGACAAAACAAACGGAATCACATTTCATGAGTAATTAAATATTAAATATGTAATTTTGCAATTTTCAATTGTTTCGAACTCGGGCTAGCCAATCGGAGCGCAGTTGTCACCGTAATGATTTGGCAGAATAGTTTTCAAGCAAATTAAATGACATTTCGTCTATATTTCTGGTTATATACTCGATGTAAAAATATCACATTCAAAACTAGTGCTACATGACCTTATGGCATCTAGAAAAATATGTATTCCATATAAAACAGGGGCATACTCGCTTGCGCTTGAAGCGTTTAGTACATGTACATTGGGCGTTTAGCACTTTTCCCTTCGAAGTTTGTTGGGTCCTAACAGGCTTCTAACCTTCATGACCATACCATCGTAGCATTCCCTTTTCTATGTTAGCACAGATCGGCAAGCACCACGCCCGAAATTGAGGGCAGAAACTATTAACAACGAAATATTTGTAGTAATTTGAGTTTGTTTTGTTTTTTGCTTGAAAATCACATTGAAATAAATCGATTAAAATATCGTTAGATCGCATGCACTTGAATCGATCTTTATAAAAATCAGAGTCATTGTGTGGAGTTGCCTTCTAAAATAGTAATTTATGTGACTTGTTACATAATGAAAAGCATTAAAATACGAGAAAAACCATCACACCAGTGTTTTAATGCCTAATTATGGACAGTTACATACACTGCTTTGTCTACACACATGTTATAAGCTCTCTGTGATGTGTTCAAGAATTGCATGTTGCGACTGGCGAAATGGCGGCAAACAAAAACTTTTCTCACGCATGTCACACAACCGTAGTTTTTAGTTTTAATTTATAGACAAACTAGAATCGGCCGTAACTATCATATCGCTCGATATCAAGTAACGTGTGAAATTGTCAAAATTGTTTGCTATTGACATTTCATTTCGAATAAAGATCTGCAAAGAAATACAATACAAAGAAATACAAAGATCGCACACCTAGAAAAAACTCGATCTTTGTGTTAATAATCATAACAAACTAGTGGAGTAATTTCACTAAAAATAATTGAATATCAATACAATACAAATTTAATTAAATTAATAGCGACATCTCTAGCCAGGGCTGGTAGCTGTGAAGTTACTAACTGGGTGACGAAATACTTTCATAGATTTCTCATAGATGGCGCTACGGCTTAAAAATCGTTGAAAACCAAAAACAATAATCCGAAAAACAAGCACATGGAAATATTCATGAGGTCCCCTGGTTCGTTCTGTAGCTTAGTTGGTATAATGTCTGGCACGGTTTGCTAGAAGACGTCGGTTGGAAGGATTTTTTTCTAGGTGTTCTATCTTTGTATTATTAATTATAACAAACTAGTGGAGTAATTTCCCAAAAAATAATTGAATATCAATTCAATACAAATTTACTTAAACTTATTATGTTTTATAAAATATCATGGACCAAAAGTTATTGTTTATGATGTTAGTAATATAGTCCTGCGAGGTTATTTGTTTTTTTATAAATTAAAAAATCATATAAAAAATATTTACCAACAGGAATGCGTTGTTTAGAGGTTTTGGGTTATTAGAAATAATTATTTCATTTCACCCTTTATGGTTGGTTTGTACATGGAGGTCTACGTAAGTGGTTCTTCTGTGAAATAGGGATGGTCGAGGCAATCTAAGGCAGTCAGTCTTTTTGCAGGATCGAACACCAGCATGCGCTGAAAGTAAGAATTACGCCAATTAAAATTACGTTTATTTGACAATTACATGAACCCAAATGTCATCATATTATCACCCTATCGCAGTCCACTGCTGGACATAGACTTCTCTCAATGTGCGCCCGGTGCCTGTCGCAACACATCACTCCATCAAGGCCCCAAGTCTGCTAATCTTAAATCATCCCAGTTGTATGTCGAAGGAGTGAAAATGGCAGGTTTTTGTACTTTTGGTATTGTTCTAAGAGTAGTGGCTTTGACTTGTTGTGGTTAAACGAGATGAATCACAGATACGACGGAGCCTATAAAAGCAGGTGGAATGGAGGGAAACCATTTTTTCCTTCGTCGCGTCGTTGAAGAAACAAGAAGTGTCAACTTCCCAGGAACTGTTTCTTATTTATTAGGATTTTTGGCTTGAATACAAGCCCTTTGAGTGAGGTCTTCGTTTAGTTTTCGGGTTTTTAATAAAACATTTTCAACAATGTACTTGTAGAATGGCAAATAATCTTTTAAGTGGCGGGTGGGTCATGTTTTTTAGTTTCACTTAAATCACTTAGTTTACTTAAGGATACGATACCTTAATGAGATCAAGCGCATGATGATGTATCCTGGGTAACAGATCGGCCAGGTCCTGGGGCGGGTAGTCGGGGAAGCTGTCTGGCAGGACACACACGCTGGAAGGCCATTCCTGACGCGGCGGACGCCCGATCAGTCTGCAACGAGGTATAAAGACCGTTATACTGCCTCAATACCTACCTCAATCGGAATAAGTTCTGAGAAAACCGACTTTTTGCAATAATTGTATTTTCGCACCTTCAAAAATAAATCTTTTTGAATATGTTCAAACTTATTAAACGTATTTTTGACTAATAGATTTATTGACATACCTAAATTATCCATAAATTGAACCAATATTTCGTGAGATATAGCTATTTTGGTTATAAAAAAAGGTTTCAAAAATTGAGATATAAAAATACTTCTTAGTGGTTTTTTAAATGTTTTATGTTAGATAGAGCTATGTCTATTATACCATTAGATGCGAAATTATTATAGCTATTGTATGGTATAAAAACTAAAAGGGCGTATCTCAGAGATAGCTCGTTTCGGCTGAGCAGGGCAGTATAGTACTTTGTGTATTACGAGCGGCAAATAAAGAATTATGGACGGACTCTATTAAAGACACCCGTCATCCGTAGAACAAAGACCTATGTGCAAGACTACTTGTTCTCAGGACATAGTACATTTCGTTCGTTCTTCTTCGCTGTGGATGTCAAACCGACCGTTGTTTGATTTTATATTTCCGAAAGTCAAAGTCAAAGTCAAAGATTATTTATTCCATAGGTAAAATAAATTTACACTTGAAAACGTCACATTTAAGGTACTGCTCGTTCACTACGCTGACCTCCCTGAGAAGAACGAGCAAGAAACTCTAGGGATTGCTCTTTTCAAATAAACTTAAATGCTATGGAATACATTTTGAATCAAATTTGTGTGGATTCTGGAGGCATGTCGTCTTTCCATACATCTTTATCTAACACGTAGTCTTCAATTTTGTAATATGATTTTTCGATCAAAATATTTTTAATGTAGTTCTTAAACTTAGGAAATGATAAACTTAATATATGCTCCGGAATCTTATTGTAAAAACGTATACAGTTCCCCATAAAAGAGTTGTTTACCTTGGTTAAACGAAATCGTGGTACCATGAGTTTGGACTTAGCTCTAAGGTTAATATTATGGATATCTTCTTTCTTATTGAAATTATGTATATTTTTACGGGCATATAAAATATTTGAGTAAATGTACTGCGATGCTACAGTCATGATACCAGTCTCCTTAAACTTTTCTCTGAGAGATACCCGAGAGCCTAGACGGTACACAGAACGAATCGCTCGTTTTTGCAATACAAATATGGTTTGAATATCTGCCGCTTTACCCCACATGAGAATCCCGTAGGACATTATACTATGGAAGTAACTAAAGTAAACTAGTCTAGCAGTACTAACATCGGTAAGCTCACGTATTCTGCGGACTGCGTATGCAGCGGAGCTTAATCTGCTGGCCAGGGACGATATATGTGGAAACCACTGAAGTTTACTATCTAAGGTCACTCCCAAGAAGACTGCTTTATTAACAAGGTCTAACTTTTCTCCGTTTATTTCTATGCTTGGACTAGTCGATTTTAATAACGAAATGAAACAAGATATATAAATTATCAAAACACCTTTACACATGCCTTAGTTTGAATAACGAAATTGTTCTCGTAACGTACTCATTCTCTTTTCGCTATATAATGGACATCGGACTCTGTTCTTCGGATGAGCCCATTTGTTATACTCTAACCATAAGTTAAGTAAGTTAACCAAAGTTAAGTAAACTTTTGACAGCACGAATTCTAATCAATTACTGATGTCTTAATGCCGATTCGGGTTTTTATAACAATCGATTTGGTCACAGTTGAAAGGTGTGAAGGTTAACACACGCGTGCGGACTGAATTTCGCTTTTTAAGTTTAAGTTTTAAGTTTCCTTATGTTCTGTGATCCCAGAGACGAGGCGGAGCCACCTGATAGGGGGCCTCGTTCTCTATCTGTATCCCCGTCCGTTAGCTCAATGGACATCAACATCAGTGGTCAAAGGAGCAAGCCCTGCTTGCGCGGACATTGATAGCTCCGCTAAAAAGACAAGACTCCCGCCGTCTGCGTCAGTACAACATACGTATACCCTGGAGGGATACGAAAGTAACTCTGACTTCAAATACTCAAACAACGATGCTGGACACTTTCTGGTCCATGTTTCTCGCACAGAAAGTGACTCCTCTGCTACCAGAAATTCAATGCGTGCTTTAAAAATCGCCCAAACAATCTACAATAGCAAAGTCTCGGGAATTTTAGAAATAAAAAGCAATGGCCAAAGTATCAATTTACTTCCAAACACCACAGGATGCAAACAACTTTATTGAGAGTCCACTCCTTAATAATCAAAAACTTTCTGCTGTAATCCCCCGCTTCCACCTCACCGCAATGGTGTTGTTCGCCAGATCCCCTTGGAATGGTCCCTCGAGGAATTGGTTCACTCCATCAAATGCCCCCCAGAGGTTAAAGTTATAAAGGCTAGGAGGCTAAATAAAAAGCGTATAATTGAAGGACAAGCCACTTGGGAGCCATCTGCCACGGTGGTATTGAATTTTTTGGGACAGATCCTCCCGGAGAAAGTCTTTTGTTTTAATGTCTCTCCCAGTGGACCTATATGCTCTACCCATAATTCAATGTCACAAGTGCTGCCGCTTTGGACATGTTCGTGAACAATGCTGTTCTCATCCGCGTTGCTCCAGATGCGCCCAGAATCACGATGGCTCCTCCTGCACCGTTCCAGATGATGCTGTGTCTTGCCTTCTCTGTTCTGCCTCCCATAAAGCTACAGATTCAAGGTGCCCTGAGCATGGCCGTCAAAAGCTCAAAAAAATCAAAAAAGTGATGGCTGAAGACAATATTGGTTACCTAGAAGCTTCCAGACGATTCAGTTATGTCCGGAAATCATATGCTGACATTGGCATCTCCAACCCAGCACCCGCACTCTCCCCTCTCCCCGCTCCCCCCAAACAGTTAGTTCTCCTCCCTGTACCCCTGTCCGCCCACAGTCCCAGATTCCTTCCACATCTTAAGACAACTTTTACAGAAAGCCGCCGCAGACAAGAACAAACCCAAGGATGTGATAGATACTCACATAGCCTCATAACATCTACACCAAAATCCTTGCGACCTAATGGGTGTTCTCTCCTTAGCGACCCTTCAAATATTAATAACCCTTGTTCTACTAGTCCAAATGACAACCTGTCCGATATTATAAGTAATTTAATAATAAATGTACTTTCCAAATTTAATGACATCTTACCGTACAATGGCCTTGAAATTATTCAAAGTATGATCTCAAAATTATTACAATCTCTTTTATCCAACAATGACATCAATTCTACAATGGAACGCCGGTAATATAAAAAATAAAAAACACGAGCTTATTTTTCTGATAAATAAATATCAAATAAAAAAAAAACTACGGGAGTTTTTGGTATTTCCGAGACATGGTTAAAACCGGGAGCCCTCTTCAGAGTTCCTGGCCATGCGTGCCTTCGGGCTGACAGGAGTGATAGGTGGGCTGGATGCGCCCTACTAGTGAAAAGGAACATCATATATACACAACTCTCCATCCCCACGCACTCCACAGGCCTCCATGTTGTCGCTATTAGAGCGCAAGACAAATCATTTGTCTCTGTCTACATTCCCCATCTTAGCCTTGAGCTCATCACAGAACTATCCGTGATCCGTTCATCCCTCCCTTCCCCCCTAATTGTTTTAGGAGATTTCAATATACGCCACTCGCTGTGGGGATCTCACATTTGCGACTCTTTATCCTCTGCTTTTCTCGATCTTCTGGACAGCACAAATTTATGTATAGTTAATGATGCCAGCGCCCCTGACTTAACCTTAGTCTCTCCTAGTTTAGCCCCTTCTACCTCCTGGCTTGTTCTGATAAATTCCTTTGGAAGCGATCACCTACCTATATTAATTTCAGTAGAAGACTCCCCACCTAGCCTCACAACAGACCCCCTCCCTTACTTAAATACAGGCTTAGGCAGGCGGACTGGGACATTTACTCCTTGGTCCTGAACAGCAAAATTGTAAACATGCAACCAGTTCAAGTAACCCCCTTCAACCGTTTTGTCTATATATTCAGAGTTCTTCTCATGTTTGCTGTCAGCCGCAGATGAAACTATCCCTTTGAAAAACTCTGCAAATAGCAAAATTTCCTCTCGTCCCGCCGTGGTGGGATTCGGAATGTTCTTCGTCAGTCAAGGAACGAAATCGGGCAGAACTTGAATTCGCATGTGACTTATCCTTTGAGAATTATTTAACTTTCTAAAAGATTTCCGCTCACACGAGATTTGAGCAAAAACAAATTTCAGGGATGGCGTGCATTCTGCGAATCTCTGGAATCCCGCACCCACCCGTCTATAGTCTGGAAGAGAATAAAATCCTTTCGCAGATCTCAGACTGATCCTAACAATATCTCGTCTAACGACCCGACATTTTATTACAAAATTATCCCCTCTTTTGTTCCTTCAGAAGCACCTGCCGCCATAAACCCCTCCTTGTCAACTTCTGACAGTACGAATGACCCCTTCTCTTTTGAAGAACTAAGCTGTGCTTTGGACCATTTAAGGGATTCGGCGCCGGGTGCGGACGGCATTCCCTATTCGTTTATTACCAGGTCCTCTAGACCCACGAAAATTTTCTTTTTGAATATCATAAACACAATTTTTTAATCTGGCATAGTCCCTATATCATGGAAAACCCAAATTATCATTCCAGTCTTAAAACCTTGGAAAGATCCATCTAATTTAAACTCGTTTCGATCTATCGCCCTATCATCTGTTTTAGCTAAAATCATGGAACACCTAATAAAAAACCGTCTGGAATGGATGGTGGAGAGCAAGGGATTGTTATCCAGAAGCCAGTTTGGCTTCCGAAAAGGCATGGGCACTATGGACAGCCTAAGCATTTTTACATCAGATGTTCGACTAGCCCTCTCCGAGGGAAAACACGTCATAGGTGTGTTCTTAGACATAACATCCGCTTATGATAACGTGAATCTTCCACTACTCAGGCAGAAGATGCTCAATCTGAGTATTTCTGTGAAGATGATCAATGTCATCTGCAACATGTTTATCGACCGCTCAATCGCAGTCCGTGTTAACGGTTCCACAACCCCCTCCCGTATGATCTGGAATGGCTTGCCTTAAGGTTCCGTTCTTAGCCCTCTCCTTTACAGCTTGTACACGTCTGACCTCGACACTTCAGTCGATTGCTTCTGCAAAATCTTGCAATATGCAGACGATATCGCCCTGTACTCTTGTTCCAAATCTTTTTCAGATACTGAAAGATGCCTCAACTCTGCCCTTTTTTACCTAGACTCTTGGCTTTCCGATCACGGCCTCTCGCTTTCAGCTTCCAAAAGCACAGCTGTCGTTTTTTCCCGCAAGAGACGCCTTCCTGAAACTGAAATACACGTTAATGGGGAAAACATAGAACTGAGGGAAAAAGTAAAATTTTTAGGTATTATTTTGGACTCAAAATTATCTGGCATCCATCACCTCAACTATGTTTGTCAAAAAGCTGAAAAAAGCATAAATGTCCTACGTGCACTTTCTGGTGTTCGTTGGGGATCACATCCGTATAACCAAAAGCTCCTGTACAACGCAATCATCAGAAGTCATTTTGATTATGGCGGCTTCCTTCTGGAACCATGCAACAAGATAGCCTTGGCTAAGATGGACAGAATCCAGGCAAGATGCCTGAGAATAATCACAGGTGCCGTGAAATCCTCACCAACAAGCGCTCTTCAAGTCGAATGTCTGGAGCCCCATCTACATCTACGTAGACAATTCCTTGCTATTAGATTCCTTTTCAAGATCTTTCAATTTTCTTCTCACCCTTTGATTCCCGTATTGCAATCCTTATCGGAGATTATCCCTTCCTCCAATTATTGGTCACACAAGAAACCTCCCCTTCTTATCAACAGTTTTAACAAAATTTCCAATCTCCCCTTCCCTATTTCCCAAAATTATATGAACCCGTTGTTTGAAACTGATTTTAAATTTTTAACGTTCCGCCCAACAGTCTATCTTAGTTTTGGCATCACGAAAGATGCCCCTGGAGCAAACCAAGTCTTCAACGATATAGTTGAGAGATAATGGCATAACTGGACTACTGTTTTTACCGACGCTTCAAAATTACACGAACATGGCAACTTGGGAGCCGCGGTTTGGTTTCCCAAGTTTAAATCCCCCTATCTGAATTCGGTCTTTTCTGAAGAGGCTATCGCAATATTTGAAGCCATTTTATATATTGACTCCCATAAAATTAATAAATGTTTGGTTTTCTCAGACTCACTAAGCTGCCTCCAAGACATTATTTTATTATATTACCGTTTCATTTCAAAGACAATTTCTCTATCACCCTCCAAAGTAAGGAACCTCTGTACTGACGTCACTGTGCGGGAATTGAGGTAACTCTGGCCTGGATTCCCGGTCACAGTGGGATCAGTGGCAACAAAGCAGTAGACGCCTTTGCAAAGGATGCGACAAGAATTGGCGTATGCAGATATCCAAAGTGCTTTCCCAGAGACCTGCTCGCCATGACCAAACCCCAAACGCTAGCCTCTTGGTCGGACCTATGGCAGGAATCACGACAAACTGTTAGTAGACACTATGGTAACCTCCAACCAAATCTACCCACTACACCCTGGTTTTTTAAACGTCGCGATTTGCCTAAAAACATCACTTCCACCATTATACGTTTGCGCTTAGGCCATGTTTGCACCCCTGTATTTTTGCGTAAAATCAGAGTCCGAGATCACTCTCTGTGCGAGTGCGGTCTAGAAGACGGTCCCTTGAAACACATTTTTTTTCAATTGCCTTAATATTGCTGTTCCACTTTATGGCCGTTAAACCATAAGGTTTCTTACCTAGTGAAAAGAATAATGTTAATATTTATCTTTTTGTTATGAATAAACTAAAAAAAAAAAAAAAAAAAAAAAAAACTTACTTCCTCCAAAATTCCCCCGCCCCATTAACATAAATAACCTCTTAACTTTAGTGTTCTCCCCCATATTGTTACTCTATGTAAATTTATCCACTTAAATAACATATATTTATAAATACATGTTATATGTTTGTGTTATCTTTTGTTTTAGATTCTCAACTGAGTACCCCCGTGGACCAACTCATCAACACCGGTTATTGTCCTATTAGAGCTCAGCGTATTTTTTTTTTTTTGTTTTTTTTCTTTCAACCGTGACATTGGCAAAATCATCATTTCTCATAATGATGGAGCCATAAAAATAAAAAGTGAAGTGAAGAACAATCGATTTTATTTACTTATTTAGAAGTTTTAATCGTGAATATTTGCGGTTTCAAAAAAGAAGTGTTTACGCCGTAACACCGGCCCGCGGGCGCGGTATGAAGGAGGGCGCGGGGCGAGGAAGCCCCGGCGCAGGCACTGCTTCTGGCCAGAGCGGCGCGTACGGACGCGTGCGCATTTTCATATACAACCTTTACATAAGTGATATTCTATATTTTTATTAAGTCTTTATTACAAGTTTACAGTACAAATAACCCCCTTTCATTTATAATGCTGTAAAGCTTAAACATAAGATATTGTCCGATTAAAATCGTGACGTTGCGTTGGACAATTTGTGTACTCAAGAATTAATTAATGTTACTAAGGATTCAAGTGATGATTCCCGTTCATATAGAGAAGAATCCGACGATTCATTATAATAAATAATAAGAATTTATTATAATTATTTATAATTTATTTAATTTCATTATAATTTATTAGACATGTACCAAAATTTATCAGCTTGGATAATCTTCGTTACATAATCTGTTGGTTCACTAAAATTAAAAAATAAATGAGTCCAGGAAGTACTGCATTTTTGTGTCCATGGTTGTATGCAATAATTACAAAACTTCGGAGGCATGCATGTGTCAAAAGTTAAATAAATGGTTAGACAGGGTATAGTGACAAACAACACAAAAATTTGTAATTTAATTTTTTGTTTAGTTGTTCAAACATTGCTGCCGAAACTCGGCATCAATATTTGAGTTGGCGTTTATGATTGGAACACTATGAATTTATATTATTAAAGTATATTTAAATATTTTAAGCAGTGGCGGATTTGCCATAAGGCCACCCTAGGCCCGGGCCTAGGGCGGCCAACCGTGACAAAAAATTCACTGAGGATAACAAGAAGTAACTCAAAGGACCTAAATAATCTAAAGGCCCACGCACATTATGGCTGGTCGCACTGCGCCGCATCGTGTAACAATAATCTTCCTAAATCACTTTTGTCTACCAGTAGGCATATGAGTGCCGAGAATGGAGCGATTGGTACTGACTACATGGCCGGGGGCCTAGGGCGACCAAGACTGAGCCACGGAACGAACCAGCGGACCTCACGAATTTGTTTATGTGCTTTCATTGAATTGATATTCAATTGTTTTTATGTGAATTACTCCACTAGTTTGTTATAATCATTAACACACAAAAAAATACAATGAATAGCGGCATCTCTAGTCGGGGCTGGTAGCTGTAAAGGTATCTAACTGGGTGACGAAATATCATAGATTTCTCATAGATGGCGCTACGGCTAAAATGTCGTTGAAAAACCAAATACAAAGATACGACGCAAGCAAATAGAAAAATTCGTGTGGTCCGCTGGTTCGTTCCGTGGCTTAGTTGGTATAGCGTCTGGCACTGTATGCTAGAAGACGTCGGTTTGAATCCGACCGGATCGAAGGAATTTTTTCTGAGTGTTCGATCTTTGTATTAATAATTATAACAAACTAGTGGAGTCATTGCACATAAAAATAATTGAATATCAATTTAAAAAAAAAATTAAAATTGTATTAAATATATTAAATAGTATTAAATAGGGACATCTATTGAAAAACCCCAAAAACTAAAATAACGTACAATGGGGCAGCCCTTACCTGAATATGCAATGCAGCTGGTCGGAATCCGAAGAACCAGGCATGAGGGGAGACCGTGTGTGCAATTCAGCCATTACACACCCACATGACCACACATCAACAGCTGTGTTGTACGACACGCCGAGAAGCACCTCGGGTGGTCTGTACCAGAGCGTTACCACCTGGAAATGAAGGTAGAAATCACAATTGACAAAAAAAAACACTTTTTAACAGTAGTATAAAAACAGTATATTATAAAGGGCGGTAAATAAGGAATTACCAACGACAGTGTATTAGAAGCCCGAAGCCGAAGGCTGAGGGGTTTAATGACTCAAGTTTGTAATTTTTATCTACCATGTTACATACCTGTTTTTAATCAAATTTGCAAATAGACACTACGATAATTTATTTCTTGTATGAATAAATATCGCTTCACAACACAATATTTACATATTTTGCAAATGGCGGACTTTTTTTTAAAACAGATTGCCAGCTATTCTTCCATAGATAATACAACTTGAACTAAAATGTTATAAAAGGCATAGACGCATGCAGCCACAATGTATCAGATATAAAATAAATAATTTCCAAACTCTAAAACTACTGCTGAATTGAATTCACAAACAAAATAAATTTTTCACTTCACATGCTCTTAAAGTTCGTATTTATGCTGGGTGTAGGCTACATAAAATTGGATTTTATGCTCTAGTGCATAAAATTAAAAAAACCATCACATTAAATATGTCTAATTGTTGTAATTTTACATTCAGTTTTAATTAAATAATCGTTTATTTGTAATATTGCTGTTTAATTTCCTCGCAATCGAAGTGAAAAGCAGAGGGTTATAACTCGTTCATAAAACCCATTTTACCCTCGACTTAAGTATACTTTTTAGTTTTAGTTTTATGCGCTTGTTGTACAATCTACTACAGTAAAATTGCAAGTGTTCAGTTTTGTTTTTATATTTCACGTTTATGCGAAATATGCGTTTAGATTTTTCGAGCATAAAAACTTTCTGTTTAATCTTGACGTAAAAAATCCATAAACGATAATGTAATGAAAAATCCCGTGGGCATCGTTTAGAACATTACTGTCGTTGTCTGCATGTCATGACACTGTTTACGAGCAAGTATGTGAATTTACAATTGAT